CTTACAAATTAAGAAAATCAGTTATAGTTTTTAAGAACTCCACCACTTGAAGCATCCTAGGAAAATAAACATGGGAAGAATAAACCATTACTTATTTAACAGAGAGTTCATTTGTGGGTGACATGCAAATCGATTCTCAGAATTGTGAGTATGTGTGAATTTGTTAAAAGAAAACTGGACCAGGACTCCTCATCTCTTATCACATTACAGATAGAGCTAAGTGACACCAGGCTCTCACCATGTGTTTACAAGCCCTAGACATTATGATGCAGTAGAACGTTGCCTTGGAAACTATTTTCACTGTCTTTGAATGGTCCTCAGGTTTCTTTTTCCCATCTCTAAATGCACCTGTTATTTAGGTGATGTAATTGCATCATTTCTTGTCGACAACACTGTTAGGCACTATTTTTTAAATTATTTCTTTGATTTTTTCAGATTATAGTATAATTAGATCATTTATTCCTTTCTCCCTTCCCCCCCCCGCGGGCCCTCTCATATAACCCTCCTTGTTCTCTTTAAAATAAATGACCTCTTCATTAATTGTTGCTACACACACACACACACACACATATATATATATGTATATATATATATATATACACACACCCACACACACAAATATTCCCAAATAAATAAATACAGCCATCTTATTCTGTATGCTCCTTGTATGTAGGTTTTTCAGATGTGATTATTTGGTACTGGATAAGCTATTGGTGTGCTTTTCCCTGGGGTAGACTATTTCTCCCAGATAGGCATTAAGTCTCACCGTTATTTGCTTGCAGTTTAAGTACAGCTGTAGTTTGTTTTTGTTACTAGAACATTTTAGCTCTGTAGACATGAATTCTTGGTGATAGTGGGAATTAATGCAGATGATGCATCAATTTGAATGCAACTTCAAATAACATTTGAGATGAATAAATGGATATTTGATTGAAACAAGCAGTTGGAAACTTCAAATAAAAGAAACAGACTGCAGGTGTTTGTGGTACACATAATATTATATCTACTGGTAGAGGATCTTGTGATTTAAAATAATCTCAAACTATTCAAACCTGTCAGACACATTTCCTTAATTTTTTAACCTATTTACTTCTTTATTTATGTAGTATGTATATTTGGTAGGTATCACCATACCTCGGATGTGCATGGAGCTCAGAGGACAATTTACAATACTTTGGCAGTTTGGCAATAGGAATATTTACTTGTTGAGCTATCTCACTGACCCCAGACATGTTGTTTTTAAAATGTAGTGTGCATCAAATGTTTCACTAGGTTAGATAGGGATTTCTCTTGCTTAGTCTAAGTTTAAAAGTTGAGACTCTATGATGAATTTCAAATGGCCTGTCTGCTGTGTGACCACATCTATGTGGTCTCATGAGTGATCAGGATTTGACAGTATAGACCTTATCTCCCTTATTGTTGCCTTTTCGTTTGCTTGTGATTTTGTTGTCAAACATGATATATTTCTCTTAAATGCTTATATTCTTTGAGAATGATTATGTGAAAAATAATAGCGGTGAGTGGTTAAGTGAGTGCAAGTGACATTGATAGATAATGTAAACATAATACTTTTTGAAAATTATCACAAAACCCAACTGACAACATGTCAATATGCAAATTATCTCAAATTTTTTTGTTTGTTTTTCGAGACAGGGTTTCTCTGTATTGTTTTGGAGGTTGTCCTGGAACTCGCTCTGTAGACCAGGTTGGCAGAGAACTCACAGAGATCCACCTGCCTCTGCCTCCCGAGTGCTGGGATGAAGGCATGGGCCATAATGCCCAACTATCTCAAAATTTGTTAATAGGACTTATTTTTTCTTCTTAATATCTTAACTTACAAAATAAAGATCATCCTGTATAACCTCTCTCTTTCTCTCTCCCTCTCGTCTCTCTCCCCTTCTTTCTTGTTCTCTCTGTGGTATATATGTGTATGTGGTATATTTGCCTGTGTCTGCATATCTGGAAGCCAGAGGCCAACTTTGAATATCTTTCTCTATTGGTATCTACTTTTTAATTATTTCAAGATTTATGTTTATGCATGAGAGACTTGCCTGCATGTATGTGTATATATGTACCACATAGGGTGTCTGATGTATGTGGATGCCAGAAGAGGATGTAAGATCTGGAAATGGAGTTAAGGATGTTTGTCAGCCACTGTATGAGTGCTGAGAACTGAACTCTGTCGGGTCATCTGCAAGAATAGCAGGTACTCTTAACCAATGAGCCACCTCCTCAGTACCAAGTTTACACACACACACACACACACACACACACACACACACGAGAATGTCATACATATTTACATTGTACTTTGATCATATCCACCTCTTACTCTCTCCTTTCATCTCCTCCTAGATTCTTCCCCCAATATGTCCTCCTCTTAACTTTATCCCCCCCCCGTGTGTGTGTGTGTGTGTGTGTGTGTGTGTGTGTGTACCACACTGAATCCATTAGCACTACCCAAGTACACATAGATATGGCACCATCCACTAAAACAATCTATCAGTGGCCTCACCCTGTTTTGATCAGAGAAAGAATATAAATTATCACCCAACAAACAGAAGCCAATATGATTGTCTATGTCATCCTTTAGTGTCCCTCCTCTATTAAAGCACAAGATCTTCTTAATAAAAGCAGAACAACCTAGCTTTCTGACTGGGAAGGCACATCCATATTTTCAATATCTCTCAACTGTTTATTGTTTGATTGATGGAAGCTGTAGCATGAAAGCAATTATAGTTATTACCATGTTCACCAGCTAAGTGTTGGATATTTTTAAATTATAATCAGTCTGTACCTTTTATTATATATATTAATGAGCTAAAAGTAGATCACATCTGCATGCTATTATTTTATGAATGAGTTTCCAGGTTTTGTTGGCACATAATTACAATTTCTAACATAGAATACTGGAGTTGGAAGAAATCTCCAGGTATCTAAACTTCTCCTTTTTCACACTGGTTGGCAGAGCTTGGAGACGCTTAGTTAAGGCCATGCCTCATTTTAAACCGCACTTGGCCAGGTGACAGACAACTTGCACAAAAACATCTGAACTTCTATTTTATGTCTGCAAATTTCCCACTTTCTTCTTGGTCACAGCTTAGGTACCAAAAGCTTATACAAGGAGATATTCAAGACTGATGATGAGGCTTCCGAAGACGGGAGGGATAACTCAGATGTTAAGAACATTTGTTGCTTTTGCAAAGGACTGGGTTTCAATTCCCAGCACTCACTTAATAGTGAACAACCATTCGTAACTCTAATTCCAGGGGATCTGTTTCCTTCTTTTGACCTCCAGGTCACTAGGGACACACAAGGCAAACATAATCACATGCAGGCAAAATACTGTACACATAAAGTAAAATTTAAAAATGTAAATTTTAAGTGTTTCTGATTTAACGTTTTTATTTCCTTGATTTATATGTATTCAAATGTGCGATGTATGCTTTTTTCTTCCAAATCCAGCTTTATTAATTTCTTCCTTTTATAAAAATAGAAGTGCTTTGATAATTTTTTTACATTTGATAAAACTAACATCTGCCATTAGATTTTCAGAGGAAACAGAATAACAAAACAACCTCATTATTTGGACTGGGCCATATTCCCATTTATTGGAATGAAGTTTGTTGTCAAGGAGATTTAAAAACATAGTGTTTTGTGAAATAGACATCTGGTGCATGAGGCGTGACACCAGAAAGTGGCAGCTGCTATCGTGTGTATCTTTTCTTGTCACTAAAAAAGAACCTTGTTCTAGTTTCATTGTGTTTTAAGTATGGTTCTAGATGATAAATACACCTTAGTTAAATCATTTTTAAGTGTTTAAGTATACACAATCTGAATCATATTCAACAATATAATTAAATACTATTGTATATGAATGTATCTAATTCTGAATTCTGGTTGGTTTTCAAATAATATGCAGTTTTACATTTTTTATATCTTAGTTACAGAAATATTATGCACTGTATATTATGTCATACATGAAACACTTAAATTGACAATTGGAAATCTTAAAAGGTTCAAGATGATCTTGATAGCAAGCATGAAATATTGCAACTGGAACAGATGCTTTCCCAATTTATAATTGTCTTAGTTACTTTCTCATTACTATGATAAACACTCTGACAAGGGTGACTTAGGAGAGGAAGGGTATATTTTGCTTTACAGTTTCAGTAGGACATGGTGTACCATGGAATGGCAGATGTGACACTAGGCAAGGAAGGCATTAACAGTAGGAGCTAGAGGCTGCATGGTCACATTGCATAGGACTGTAAACAGGAAGGAGGGTGGGGTTACGAAGCCACAAGTCCTGCCTCCAGTGTCTCACTTCCTCCAGTGAGGCGCCATAAGTTTCCCAAATAGCAGCATTAAGAGTGGAGCAAGTTTTCAAACACATCAAACACAATCACATGTAAACCATAAGAACTGGGGTAATTTTCAATAATTCTTTTTTGGAGGTCCAATCTATAATGTCCACTAATTTATTATAATGAATTAGATGGAAATTTGCATTGATTTCTACACTTGTAGAAATAATTCACTTTGAAAACAAGTATGTTATAGGCATGAGAACTATAGTTGATTATTACATTTGAGAATGTTCAATTTGCTGTAAGTAAAAATTTAATGACTCCATCCTAATCTGATGAAAACGAACTGTTTCTCAGGTGATTGGAAGTTTGTTCATGTGCCCTTTCTGCTTTCTAAAGTTGTAAAAAAGCTGAATTATGATTGTGTTCTCCAAAGAGCTCTCTATATAAATCTAATTCAATTTGGAGTGTGTTCTCCAAAGAGCTCTCTATATAAATCTAATTCAATTTGGAGTGTTTTAATTGGTCAAGATTCCCATAATGTCTATTAGAGATGCATGTGTATGTCCATGTCACTGGTGTGGCTTAATCAATGCTATTTCTGAGAACGGAAGAAGATTAAATACATGTTTTATGATGGAAAAGTAAAAAAACATGGCTTGAAGTTGCTTTTAATTTTGTATCACACAGGCCCAGTGTTGCCTGCCATTCGCCTTGCTGGTGGGAATAGCGGGCATGAAGGTCGCGTGGAACTGTACCATGCTGGCCAGTGGGGGACCATCTGTGATGACCAATGGGATGATGCAGACGCAGAAGTCATCTGCAGGCAGCTGGGTCTCAGGTTTGTTTTGTATTGAGTTTGTTTTGTTTTATTTTCCTAATTTTTGATACCATTACTTCCATATACCAAAGAAGGTGCTGTATGTTTGAATTACACATTTCCTTAAACTAATAGAAAAGACCACTTTTAAAAAATCTTTGCACTATTCTGTAAGCTTCCTGAAGAGTATATACATGTATTCTATAGGTCTAATCTAAGAATGTCTATTTATGCACAAAAGAAGTAATTCCTATATAGGGAATGGAATGAAGTGTGTAATAAGAACATCGGGATGAATAGCAACTTCCAATGTCCTTTCACGCTTGCGATTATTCTGGAGTATTATTCTTTTTAACATTAGTTAACAAGACTAAAATTTACCTAGGATTATATGAGATCTTTTACACTACATTTAGTTACTCTACTTAGCACTTTGCCAGAGACCCCTGTGATGAGATTCTCTCAGGAGTATTGTATCATTTTGTTTAGTTAGCCAAATTCTTTGATATTGAGGTAGAATTTGTAACCTTGGGCCAATTAGTCTAAGTTGTTTGGGATTGTTTTATAACTGTCCCACTTTTCAAAACACTATATTTACATTGAAGTACTTTAAAATTTTATCCCTGAAAGCTTTAAGAATAAGAACATTGTCCAATATAGTCAGATTACCACTATCATAGTTAGTCTAATTTCTTATCATATGCAAGTGTTTGTAGTCACTCACACAGCATCTTTGACACATGGTCTGTCCACAAGATAACTCAGTCCAAGGTAATCTAGTACAGCTGGCCCTGAAGTCTTTTAGAACCTATGCCAGTCTCTTGTTTTCATAGCCTAGACTTTCTTAATGGACACACTAGAGACTGTCCCATATTCTGAATTAGTGTCACTTGGTTTGGGTCTTTCATTCTTACAGGTTCTAAAATTGGAAATCAGTCACAAAGCCTTGATTGACTCAATGCTAGTGCTGTGCTTAGGAACCATCATAGGTGATGGGTTATTTATTGTCTTACTCTCCACCAGGAGTCACAGAGTCAAAATGGCTCTTTCTTTTTTAATCCCATAATGGCTAGGCTAAAATTGAACAGTAATGTGACATTTTTAGTTTCCCTGTGTAACTGAATCTAATCTCTGATTTGTAATTCATGTGTGGAAAAGGAACAAGCACAAGAATTTCTAAAACGGTGCGTTTGACCTTGAGTGCTAGCAATATTGTTGGCTAGTATTACTTTCTTTGCGTGCGCCAGTTATGGCTAGTTAGTTCCTTCTAATAAAACTGTAACAAATTGTGGAATTTCCAGATGGAGTCTTTGTTTGATTGGTCTCAGTTTACTAACAGTTTTCTTGTCCATAAAATGTTTCTTTGGGGGGGGGGTTCGAGATAGGGTTTCTCTGTGGCTTTGGAGGCTGTCCTGGAACTACCTACTGTAGACCAGGCTGGTCTCAAATTCACAGAGATCCATCTGTCTCTGCCTCAGGAGTGCTGGGATTAAAGGTATGTGTCACCACCGCCCAGTTTAAAGACATTCTTTTTTTAGATTTTTTAAATTTACTTATTATGTGTATACAGTGTTCTGCTGGCATGTATGCCTGCACACCAGAAGAGGGCACCAGATCTCATTACAGATTGTTGTGAGCTATTATGTGATTGCTGGGAATTGAACTCAGGATCTCTGGAAGAGCAATCAGTGCTCTTAACCTCTGAACCATCTCTTCAGCCCCATAAAATGTTTCTAATTGACAGTATTTAGTTATTTAGTATCCATACAAAATACATTGGCTTTCAGGGTCAATCTAATTAGGGAATGTTAGATTTAAAAGATATTGATCATTAAGAGTAAGCTGGGCATTTGGTAGTGAGATTATCAAACAAATTCCTTTATTGAGAGTTTCTATTTATTTAGAGGTATTTCCAGATTCTGTATTTTCAAAACACTCTAATGCAGTGGTTCTCAACCTTCCTAATGCTGCAACCCTTCAATACAGTTCCTATGTTGTGGTGACCACCCCAACGATACAATTATTTATGTTGCTACTTCATAACTGTAATTTTGCTACTGTTGTGAATTGCAATGTAAATACCTGATATGCAGGATATCTGATGTGTCACCTCTATGGGAGTCACAACCCACAGGTTGAGAACTGCTGTGTAATTTCTATTTACTGAGCTGTCAATTGCCAAATGTTCAGGAAGTGCTAAGTGATTTTTATCTTGACTACGAAGAAATCTATGCCTTTACCCAAAATAGCATTTTAAACACCATGTCAACAGCATATTGACTTTTTATTAATTAATATTTTTAATTTTGGGGGAGTTTAGTACATGAGTACACTACTTACGTCATTTCTACACCTCCTCTTTTGCCACTCTAACCCTTATTGCTCCCCCAATCTCCTTCTCAAGTCTACCTCTTTTAAAATTATTTGTTACATATATACCCTATATGCATATACATACATATGTACACATATGTATTTACAAAATACAACCTGCTGAGTCCATTTAGTGTGGCTCACGTGTATATGTGTTTGGAGATGACCACTTCGGATTGCATAACTGGAGAAAACTGAGTTTTCCTTCCTCAGCAAACACTAATTGCCTGTAGCTCTCCTTCCAGGGGTAGGCCTTACTAGATTTCTCCCATCCACAATGGTATACCAATGGATATTATCATACTGATCTCATTCAGGCAACATATTATTGAGATTTCATGGGTATAGCTTCTCTGTCTAGAAAACGTGATCTCACCACAGGCATCCTGAACCTCTTAATTTTAAAATCTTTCTGCTCTGTCCCCTTCTGTGATGTTCCCTGAGCCTTAGGTATAGGAGTAGTGTTGTAGATATATCAGTTGGGTTTGGGTGCTCTGCATTCTTTCTGTTGTGGATTTCTGTAATTGTCTACATCTACTGTAAAGGGAAGCTGCCTCTACAAGAGGTCAGAGCTACACTTATCTGTAGATAAAGATTCAGAATGTGGTTAGAAATTCTACTGGTTTAGAAAAGTGGCAGTAATAGGTTTTACTCTAGGGTTCATGATCTTGCAAGTCATTTGGCAATTGTCTGGGTTTACATTACCAGATAGGAATTCCCTCTAAATGAGTGGAATAAGACCAATTAGATGGTTCTAAGTTGCCCTCAAGAAATAAGTACCACTATTGCATCATTAGAGATATTTTGCATGCTGGTCACTGCTGTTGTCTGCGATCTTTCCATTTGGGTAGAACTAGGGATTGCTTTTCTCTCTTGTTAGCTTGTATAGCACGTGCATATACTATGAAAGCTAGTCCTCGGGAAGGAGACTTCAAAGTCGGTTCCAGATCAGTTTTCCCACATCCTCCATCAAAAGTGTGTAGTATCTTCAGTAGAAGGGTTTACCTTTAGGTTCTAGGAGGCAACCAAAGGCAATGAAAATAGTCCATATTGTTTTGGGAATCTCTTGGACTCTCCTCTTGATTTCACTATTTACAATAAAGGTTACTTTAAACCACAAGGCAAATTTTATTTTCCAAATATTTCTGCGGATAAAAGCAATGTTTTGTTAGTTAGAAAAATGCACATAAAATTTAAATGACATATGGAATATTAAGGGTACTTCGAGTTATCAAGTGATTGTAAAATTTTATGTTGTAGTATAGCATTCTTTCCTGAAAGACAAAAATGCATTTTCACCTTAAAAATAGTGCCTAAAAAGGCAATGCTGACACGTCTAGAATTTGGGGAGGAGACAGAAGCGCACTCCCTGGGAAGACTATACTAATGTCAAGCACACAGCTAGATTAAGTAAGGAGGTGCTCTCTTTCTTCAGTATAAGCTCATTGCTTTCTTTCTTGATTGAAGACTGACTCCTGACTTTCAAGTGTTCTGTCAGTAAGATCTATCCGCAGCTCTGTCATTCTCATTTTTAAATCCTTTATTTTGAGAAAGAAGCTAACTTACCCTGGCTGCTCTTGAACTCACCTTGTAATCCAGGTGGCTCTTGAACTTGTAATCCTCCTGCCTCAGCCTCCCACATATCTGGGAGGAGTTTTGTAGGCTTCACTCTGTGGTTAGTCGGCCCCTTTTGCTTTGGGGCCTGTTATGGAGAGGAACACCGTGTTAAAACAAGCTCCTTACCTCAGGGCTGGGAGGTGAGAAATAAGAGGGATGAGCCCAATGTCCCAGAGTTCTCTTGATGGCTTCCCCAATGATCTAAGACCTCTCACTAAGTCCCACTGCTTAATGTTTCACAATTAAAAGCTAATGATCTTGTGGCAAGGCAGAAGAGTCCTGGAAAGCCCTAAGCAACAAGCAACCCAGCTTCATAGAGCTTTTCTTGGCACAGTCACCCTGGTGCACTGAATTGAGTTGTCCACATGTCTTTCAGTTGATTTTATAGTTTGCTCACAGTTTGTATTCAAGTGATACTTTGCAACACTTATTCCTCTGTGTTTGCTCATTGACATTCTAAGTACTTTTGAATGAAATTGTTTTCAATAGTCCACACTTGATAATAGACAGCATAGTTGTTTCTTGCTTCATAGTTTTTGTTCTTAAGGAAATTTCATCTCACCTTTCTTTGCTTTGTTGAATTCCCCAAGGGAAACCGTGTCATGCATTGCTGTAGTGCTGGTTGTAATTTCCTTGTGAGATTCTGTCATTCTGACCCTCATATATGAATAGCATTTGTGTATATTGGCATCTGGGAAGCTTTCTAAATGCAAAAGGAATTATTGTACTTAAGATACTTAAATTTGATTAACTCGGTTTGTGGGGATGATGAAGAGGAAAAAGGGACACCTGCAGATGTTATCAAATTAGACAACTTGTAGATCTTCTGTATGTAGTAAAATTCAGGTGGAGCCACTCTCAAGCTCCTTTCTGTGAGCTTAGCACTAAAAGCATTTCCTCCTGGTTTCAGGAACCTTTAAAAGCACAGATTAGCATGACGTCACATTTCATTGTGCTCAAGTTCCGTAATTTGCACAGAAATTTAATTATTTAAATGCATCTTTCCATTAGTTTTGTTTTCCTTAGAGGGAGCTATAAAACTCTCCTATAGAATAATATTAAATTTTAGGATAAAATTGTTACAGTTAGCTGGGCGGTGGTGGTGTATGCCTTTAATCCTGGCACTCAGGAGGCAGGGGCAGGCAGATCTCTGTGAGTTCAAGGCCAGCCTGGTCTACAGAGCGAGTTCCAGGACAGCCTCCAAAGCCACAGAGAAACCCTGCCTCAAAAAAAAATTGTTGCAGTTTAAGTTGCTTTTTACATTCTTTCTTTACTTTTTATTTCCCTGTCAATTAAAAAAACCTTGACTATGTTACAATATTAACAAAAACTTGTAGATATATGGACTGGATTGATCAGAGAGGAAGGTTTATTAACAGATGGGGAGGTTATGCCCACTTGTAGACATGTTCTTGATCGCATCCCATGAGTCTTGAGACTCATGACTCTATCTGAGGAGGATTTTTTTTTCACTATACTCTGTTAAATGGCAGGACAAAAACATAGAGCTGAAAGAAACAGAGAACGAAGAAGAGAAAGAAGATGATAGTGATGGTGTTTTGACTAGACTGTGTTAGTCATGCCATGTGCCATCAACCGAAAACGTCCTAGGAGGCTGTAACACACCTGAGCTTCAGGGTCTGCAGATAGCCCTCATGTAGATACTGTGGGGGGTGCTGGGAAAGCTATTTAACTTGTGAGCCTCCAATTTCTTGTCCATAACATATCATAACATGATGAAGTTGTCAGGGCAGACTAAATAAATATGCGCAATGCACTGACACCAGTGTCAAGCAAATCTTAAGTAGTCATTGCACATTAGGAGTCACAGGTGACAGTGAGGACTGGCAACTAGTATACTGATCATTCAAAATAAGTTTCTATAGCCATAGGTCACAAGTGTTACAAACTGGTATGTGTAGTCAAAGAACAAGACCTTTATAATCTACCTCCCTTGTATGCTTCAGATAGTGGCCACATTTGAGTCTTGAGTTAATCATATGGTGGTGTGCATCTGGCCATTTCTGTAATGTACTTTGATTAGTGAACAGAACACCTTGGATGAGGGTCAGACATCGAATGAACCCAGCGAGTATTCATTAGGAATTGTTGTCACCTAGATCGAATGGCTTCACCAACAAAACAAGCCAGTGCATTACATCAGCATTTTCCATAAGCTTTCTCTGTAGTCAGGGCATGAAAAGAGTGAATGCTTGGAGCTTCAGCATGAAACTAGCAGGCTGGTGTGGAAATGATTTCCATACGGGAAGGACAGAGCACATACAGCTTACTCAATTCATATAGAGGGAAAGACAGCACACAGCTTACTCAATTCACATAGATGGGAAGGACAGAGCACACAGCTTACTCAGCTCACATAGACGGGAAGGACAGAGCACTTACGACTTACTCACTTCACAATAGATGGGAAGGAACGTCATACACAGGAATCAGAGAGAAAGAACAGGAAGTGGGGCCAAGTTATACATGTTAAGGCCAGAGGTGGTAATATACTTTCTCCAGTGAGGCTCCACCTCTTAAAGGTTCCATAACTTCCCCACACAGCATGAGAAATGGAGGATCAAATGTTCCAGTACATGAACGCATGGGACACATCTTTCATTTAAACCACCACAGACCAGATAGCAAATACCTTAGACTTTGTAGCTACTCAGTAGCACCATTGTGACACCAACGCTGCTTTAGGCACAAATATGGTTTGTCTTCAACACAATTTTACTTTTGTATAAGGAAAGTTGGGTTTCAGTTCATTTTACACACCACCAATTATATTATCATTTCAGTCTCTCCCTTCCCACAGATCATTCAGAATTTGGAGCAATCCCTCTTAGTGCAATGACAGCATGGATCGATTAGGTATACAGTTCATAAGTCACCATTTGCTGTCATCTGATCTAGAAGCATTAGCTGGGGTTTCTTCTGTCTTGTCCCAGATCCTTCTAAAAAAGGAGTCACGAATCTCAGGCATAGAGTTCAAAGAAAATTTATTCATAAGTTAGCTCATTTTGACAATACCATTCAGGTTAGAATATCATTTTTTTCCTTTACCTTTGCTCAATAGGCTCTGGTCTTTATTATTTGTTGGGATAGACTACTAAGAGCAGAGAGCAGTGTTGGGGTTCTGAATTTTGAAATATTTTAACTCAGCAAAAGGAAATGCATTTTTCTTTTCCTTGATTCCCTCCATACCCCTTCCTAGAAGCATTCTTCAATCCATCTCTTTGGCACTTTCTGAATTGTATGCATAGCCAATCAGGTCATATTGGTGCATTTGTCTTGATGTTATTTAAAGAGAAGCTTAAGTTTTAAATGTTGTTTTCAACATGACTACTCTTGAGACCTCTGTAATACCTAATAAAACAAATCAAATAAGATCTCTAACCATGAAGTTGCCTGCATACGACTTTATTACCATCACTGGGGTATTGCACCCATTTAGTGAATGTTTTTCTTTTAATATGTTTTTATTAATTCTCAAGACAGTTATAGACTCATGATTAAAGGAAATGGTTCAATATCAATGAAGAATTGAAGATACAAATGTTAAAGTCAAAGGATAAAAGAAAAGGGGGGTTGAAAAGCGGTCTCTAAAGTTGGCCATCATTCAGCCGGTGATGGTCATCTTCACTGAATCTAGGCCTCACTTCTCTGAACTGTAGGAGAAGTTTGTTATGAGTAAATTTGTGGGATGCTGTTTTTGTCAGAAACAGATTTGACTAAATGGTAGGAGTTGAAAATAACGATAACTTCAACAAATTTAAGCACACACTTAATTTGATCTCAACAAAGAGACAAGAGGCAGCCAGCAGAGTCTAGCTTATGGGTCCACTCTCATCAGGACCCCTGGCTCTTTCTTGCCTCCATCTCTGCGCCCTTAGTAGGGGGTTTTTCTGGGCATAGTGCTCGTGCACCCAATCCAGTGCTCCAGAGAGAGGCTGAGGCAGAATGATTGATTACTGTGAGTTTAAGGCTAGTCAAGACTGTCTAGATGGTTTCAGAGGAGTCTGGGCTATGGTTTTCGATCCTACCTCCAAAAACAGTGTGTCCATGGAGGAGACACAATGTGGGCCAGTATAACTTCTCCAGTTCCAGCCATTACCTTCGCTTTATGTGCAATGTGAAGGAGATTGAATGAAGATATTGCCTTTGAATGATTCACTGCTGTTTCTATATAATGCTGCTAAAAACTTAATAATGGTAAAGCTTTATTTTCAGATGATGAAAATCTTCTGCAGACAGATGGTATTGATAATTGTATATCAACATGAATGACTTGATGTGCTTAAACATTGTTAAAATGGTGTTTATGTCATGATATAAACAGCCCTCTAGTAGGATAGGAGGCTTGGAAATGTTTTTCTCTTGGGTAGTCATTACTGTACTTTTTAAAACATTGAGATTAGATTCTTAATGAAGATGGGAGGATAAAGGTTGAGAAATACCAAGCAGTTTTAAAACATGTGTAGTGGTGGACACCGGAAGCAAGACTAAGTCAAGAAACTCACAAATAATGTAGTAGGGAAAGGACTGGGGAGTGGGATTAATCTCTATGTGTTTGTCAGAAGTGAGGAAAAAAGACAGGAGCACCTTTCATTGTGGAATCCAGAATTCATCTGTTTTTGTGTTTGCTCAGTGGCGTTGCCAAAGCATGGCGTCACGCACATTTTGGGGAAGGATCTGGCCCAATCTTGTTGGATGAAGTACGCTGCACTGGCAATGAGCTGTCAATTGAGCAGTGTCCAAAGAGCTCGTGGGGAGAGCATGACTGTGGTCATAAAGAAGATGCTGGAGTGTCTTGTGTCCCTCTGACAGGTAAGGTGTCATTTCCTAAATGTCGTGCCTTTCTGCCGCCCTTGCTTGGTATTGCCACAGCTTCCTTTCTTAATTCAGATATTGTCAAATGAGCAGACAGACAGTGTTCCTAAGCAAAACTCGAGATCAAATCAAACACAATTTTTTATTTCAAAGTATAATTTCTTCACTCCCAGTTATTTCTAAAAGTTTCTCTTTAAAGGCCAACAAAGCTAGGTCAGAAACTATCACTTTTTTAAAAAATTCAATATGCTGTACCCAACAGCCAAAATCAATGTGCAGTGGTACATACCAGGCATTAGATGTCAGTATATTACATCTTTAGTCCATTCAGCTGATAACCAGTCTTTCCCAGGATGTGTTTGTGGCCACTGCAAAACTGTGTTTATGTGATTGCTGACTAAAGGAATAGAGAGGCCAAACTAGCTTTGTAATCAAGTTTTAGACTAATGCACACTGCAGCATGTCTGTCTTATAGATCATGTGTCATAAGAAAGGAGATGTTTTAAATTATTTTTACTTGTATGTGTGTGTGTGTGAAAAGTAAAAGAATTAGTATCTATGGGATTCTGATTCATATATTTTTATTTTTGCTGTTATTTTATTAGCAACACAATGCATTTGTACAAAATAGAAATTTTCAGTTTACAGCAAAGGCGGAGAATTTCATTTCCTTGAGCCACCTTCTTTCAAATGAGGTCATCTTGTTAGTGCTATGATGGGCAGATGGGATGATAGGTGGTACAAGGCGTTGAAGAACACATTTTAAACACTGTATGGTTTTGTGTTAAGAGACTTTTGTTTGCTTCAATGGATACCAGAGATCCATAAAAAGTATTTTCTATTCTCCGATTTCTTGTGTTCCATTGAGAGGTGTTTGAACTGTTTTTGACGGAGTGACTTCTAAATATGTTCCTTTTGGTAATGAAATTTATCATGCTGTTTGCTTCTGGGTTTGTATAATCCTGTGTGTGTAATCACTCACTGATTTAATCAGATTCAAATTTCAGATCTGTATTATCAGTAAAAGAACAAAGGCAAGATGTGTTTTTATCACCCATGGGTGTCCAAGGAATGTCACATGATAAATAAAAGACCCAGAGACAGACATCAAGCTGAAGATCAGAGAAGCAAAGCAGCCAAGCCAGTAGATCTTACCTTTACCCTGCTGAAATGGCAATCCTGTCCCTATGAATCCTCAAAGGCAAATGGCTGTGAATCTTTGTCTTCTCCTCCTCATATTCCTTTCTCTGCCCAGTCATACCCTCCTGTCTCCACCTCCCTAGTGCTGGGATTAAAGGCATGTGATTCCCAGTGCTGAGATCACCTTTGTGTGAGCTGTTTTCTTTTAGCACAAAATTCTGTGTAGTCAGTTTGGCCTTGAACTAACAGAGATTCATCTACTTTTTAATCCTGAGTCCTGGGAGTAAAGGTGTGTACCTGGCCTCTGTGGCTAACTGGTGAGGCTGCTTTGCTATTTTGATCTCCAGTGACTTTAATAAATCATAAACAGTGTATTACCACAGTGGATCTCATCAACAAACTAGATTGTTCTTTACCTGAAGTAGCTTTGCCCTCATTCTTAGCTCTGTATTTTAATGTACTTGAGAATATGAAATACCATCTCTAAGTCACTATGTATTGTTTTGCTATTCCAATGAAAATGATCATTTCTTTTTTTTGAACATCACATAAGTTTAATTCAGATGTAACAGCAACGTTAAAATTGACAAGTTTAACTCTTAACTGCACCAAGTAAATGTAGCCACTCAAGTATCTTAAAAATATTCCCTCTAAGAACTGGGAGTTTTTCTTTTCCACCACACCACACCATGCTTCCCAATACTTCTCTCTTTGGAGACACTTAGGAACTCTTTTCCCCAAGTGAAAATTAATCTTGACAAATTATATATTTCGTAGATTTCTCTACAGATTCTTAACTTTAGAACCTAAATTCAAATAGCATACAGAATAATTTTAACCTATTTACCCCACACCAAAAATGATCTGTCCTGAAAAATGATGGAGATCTTCCAGTTAGCAGGATTACTGTTTTACCACAAAGATTATTTTTTATCATATATTAAAACCAAAGAAAAAACCAAACCAAACAAACCCAAACCAAAAACCACAAACTCAACATGGCTGTTATTTTAGTATTTCTTTCTTTCTTTTTTTTTGTTACTTTAGTATTTCTTGACTCACGGACATATGGACTAGTCCCAATTTCTACCTCTTTCACATCTTCCCCTTATGCAAGTGGATGGAATTATTTAATGCAACTTTGATACAGGACAGTTGACGCTTTACATACAATCCCTTCCTGATATTTGTACTCTATTTCTCCAAACAGAAAATTCATTCTGATGTAATTTCAAAGAACATATTTTTTCTACATTAAATCCTATTGGGGAAATGTCCCATAATTCCAGTCCTGTTAAATCTAAAGAACAGTGATCCCCAATAAGATTTAGTGTAGAAAAAGAAATATGTTCTTTGAAATTACATCAGAAAGCATTTTCTGTTTGGAGAAAAGAGTGCATATATCAGGAAGACTGTTGTATTAATCTTCAGGGAGTGTGCAATGACTTCACATTACTGAGTGGAGTCATAATGTTTGGTTATCAGAGGGAGGCCTAAATGTAGTTATATATCAGGTCAAACAAAGGTGCTTCTTTTCTTTTTCCGTTAAGCTAATTTCCTTTGTGTATATCTCCTTATCACAGATGGGGTCATCAGACTTGCAGGAGGGAAAAGCAGTCATGAAGGTCGCCTGGAGGTATACTATAGGGGAAAGTGGGGGACAGTCTGTGATGACGCCTGGACTGAGATGAACACATTTGTGGCTTGCCGACTGCTGGGATTTAAGTAAGGCTCGTTGGTGTGGGTCACTGAATATCAAAACACATCTTTAAAGTCAGAATTACTGCATAATCCTTACCTGTAATTTCTAAAACTCATATGCATAACATATCAGTTACCTATCTGTGCATTATCTGTCATCTGTCATCATCAACATCTATAGTCTATCATCATTTGCCTGTTATATCAGTAATGCTTATCTATCTACCTACTACCTTACCAATCTATCTACAAATGCAAGTTCAATAAAAAATTTGAACTTAATAACATTTGAAAACATAATCATTAAACTTTTTTGTCCCTTTTCTCATGTTGCCTTTATGTACTATTTTATGTGCCTACAAACATCTCTTTTCTTCAACAAATTGATGCCAAGAGTGACTTCTAGTCCATTCTTTTGTTTATTCAGGCGAGCTTCTGAATGCTTGCTTTTATCATGATGCAGGTTACTACTTCAGGCTATTAGTTTTGACATCATTGTCTAAAATTTCAGCAGTTCCAGTGGGGAATGTTGTGCCGTCACATGGTTCTTTCTTGGAACATGATGATAATCGACACTTTTGTTGGAAAAGAACAGTCTTCTTGTCATGAGATGACCTTTAGAACTAGCCTTTGACCTTGCCCATTTACAATCTGAGTGCCACACTTTGGGAAGTATATATCATGTTACATGTATAATGCATTCCAGAATAAAGACTTAAGTTGGTTGAAGAAGCTGAAAAGGATGCCCTTGAGGTAAATATTCAAATGAAGTCCTTGGCTGCCCCTTCTCTCTTATCTTTCATATTCCTAAGGCATGATTTAAAATATTGGTAAAATTACTTAATTTCAGCTTGAAATACAGCTAATTGCAAATATTCACTAAGTCCTAAAATATATATCTCATTCAAGCTGAGTAAAGCTATGCTTAGGGATATTTTAAAAAGAAAGAAAAGAAAATACTATTCACAACTTCCCTTACTTACACATCACTTGAAATTGTCTTGTGTAATTTTATATCAGTTGTTGTAGTAAAACTGTAATTTTATGGACACCTTGCTTTACTTTCTCAATGGCACAGTGTCACAGTTTGATGTAACTTGATATTCATTAAATAGTCACATCATGACCAAATGAATATTCAGGTTATTTTTCCAGGGTAAAATTATTAGTTTAATAATAAATAATGGGATAATGAAAATGCAAATAAACAAATTCACCAACATTTTTAATTTAGGGGGAATAAATATTCATGAAATTATTAGGTTAAGGTTGTAATATCCAGATATATATGGCTATTATTAGCAAGAACTATTTAGCATGCACGATGTTGTATTAGGTGAGTATGTTACCCTGATAATTTTAGCCTCAGTTTTTACAGATTTAGGGAAATGTGTCTATTGTTTGCAATTTAATTTCACATTTTTCCCTCCTTAATGAAAATAATTAACTGGCAGAAAATATTCCTTTATATTTTGTATACCTTAGTTTCAAAAATGCATGCCGTTTTCTCTCCTGGATAAGTTATCTGTGCATACTGGCACTTAAAATGTCCTCATGCATGTGTTAGCGTGATGAGCGTGTGCCATATTTAAGTTACAGAGGAAGTTCTAAAAGCGATGATTCATTGGGGATGAGAAAGAGTAAACTTGGTGTCTTTGTACAAATGCAGTCTCAAAGCTAACAAAACTTCCTGTTATGTGTTTTATGGTTGAATTAAATGGAGGGCAATCAGAGTAAGGTATTTGCTGGAAGGATGCTTTAAGTCAAAAGTGACAGCAATATTCAATTGAAGTTCATTACTTTTTTGCTAAAATTTGATTAGTTAGAAAAAAAAGTAAAGTAGCCTCAAAATGACTACTTAAAAACTGTGTTGCACCAAGGGATGGTGGTGGCATATGCCTTTAAGGCATATCTCTGTGACCTCAAGGCCATCCTGGTCTACAGAGTAAGTTCCAGGACAGCTACACAAAGAAACCCTGTCTTGAAAACAAAACCAAAAACCAAAACCAAAATAAGACTATGTTGCTTTAGCTTACTAAATAACTCCACAGGTTAGATAGAGCTAGGGATTGCACAGTAGGACTATGAGGAAAATTCATGGCAAATGGAAAAATGTCTTCACGTCTTTAGTGAAGAATTAATAAAAGTATTGACTGAAGGGAGTGATGGGCATACAATTTCTTACTGAGAGTTGAATTTTACAGACTCTAAGAATTGAAGCTACTTGGAAGATGTTTAAGATCAGTGATAATCTGGTTGAGTTTTTAAGGAATGAAAGAAAAACTGAAAGAAGGGTGAAAATAAATGCAGTTATGTAACTGCCAGTTTTTAAATTTGCTATTTCACAGTTTATCATTTATTGCAATACATAATATAATGTAATAGTCAATTGGCACAGTGTCATTTATAAAAATTACACATTAAACTTTTATAACCCTTCAAAAAAAACCCACTGTCATTGTTTTTACTTTGATGAGCCAACACCAAAACTGTAATTCCGGATTGGGTCCTGCTTTTGGGAAGTCACTAAATTCTGATACACTTTCTATCTTGGAGAAGGACTCCAAAAAGCCTGAGGGAAGTGGATAAACTCAGCTCAGCTCAGATAGTTTGAGCAGAGCCCCAAACAAACAATTGTTTTCCCTATGTACTTCAGAGAGTTGATCCATGGCCAGGAATTTGAGGTTTATCTCTTTTGCACGCTCTCTGGCTGGTGGGTTAAACTGTAGACAAAACACAATTACTGGGTAGTTACTCATCAAGTCAACCAAAAGATGTTCAGATGGTTTAAATGCACAGCAAAGCAAGCAGAGTTGGGTCTCCAAGGCAGGAGAAAGGTCAGATTCTTACCCTCTGAAGTCATGAGACTTAATTAGGTTGCTTTTTAATGGTTCTTTGATTCACAGGATGGCAGTTCTGTGAACAGTGTGTATCTCATTGCTGCAGATACGGCAAACAGTCCTCTGTAAGCCATTTTGAAGGCAGCAATGGGCCCATATGGCTGGATGAAGTCAGCTGCTCAGGGAAAGAAGCCAGCTTCATTCAGTGTTCCAGGAGCCAGTGGGGAAGGCATGACTGCAGCCACAGGGAAGATGTGGGCCTCACCTGCTACCCTGACAGTGATGGACACAGGCTTTCTCCAGGTAAGGACAGGACATTGCCCTTGAGGACACAGGCATTCACTCTGCTTCTCCAACCACTGGTCTGGAATGCAAAACATTTCCCACCCCTGCCTGACTTACTGTTTAAAGGTCTGTTTCCCAAGGGGGAAAAAAATAAGCTTTTGAGTTCTCAACTACCATTACATTTCTAATTCTGGATTTGTTTTTCATCACTTAAAAGTCTAAGTTGTTCAATAAGAAAAAAGTTTCCAACCCCACATATCTAATGGCCTAAATTCAGTCCCCAGAATTCACATGATAGAAGGAGAGAACCAACTTACCATATGTTGTCCACTTATCTCCACAAAGAGACTATATAATAACTGGGGTTGAATTGCTGGCTCAGTGGCAAAGAGAACTGTCTACTTCCAGAGGTCTGGGGTTTTATTCCAGCACTCACGTGACAACTTATCACGACATGTAACTCCAGTCTCAGAGAATCCTAGATCCTCTTTTGGCCTCTGCAGACACCAGGCAGGCACAGACATACACACAAGTAAAAACACTCATCTACATAAAAGTAAATTGAATAAAGCAGGATACATGAAATTTTTCTTAAAACTATTGAGATAGATCTTAGAGATTGAATTCTTTGTGGATGTATTCCCTTAATACTAGAACAAAGATTTAAAAATGTAAAATTGAAAACTAAGAATCTTTTTAAAATCCATCAGTTTGCATTTAGTCTTTGGGTAAATCACCATTTTTTTTAACCTTCTTTTGTGAAGAATGCTAAATTTCAGACACACTAATAAGAAATATAAAGTTTCAAATGCTCTGTCTCCCTCTCCAGAAGAAAGATTGCTAGTTGATTTTATATCTGATTTTTTAAAATTGTGTTTTGTAAAGCTTTCGTGATTTAGCATAACTTGGTTTGGGTTTTTCTGATATTTTTAAACCATGACTTAGGTTTTCCTATCAGACTAATGGATGGAGAAAATAAGAAGGAAGGCCGAGTGGAGGTGTTTGTCAACGGCCAGTGGGGAACAATTTGCGATGATGGATGGACTGATAAAGATGCAGCTGTGATCTGCCGGCAGCTTGGCTATAAGTAAGGAAGACATAGTTCTCTGGGATGGTACTTCCTTCATGTCAAATCAGTTTCTTCAGTTAAAAATATCGACAGCACGGTGATTTGGAATTGTAAAGAGTCTGAAAGTAGTCTAATTATATTCAGTTTAGCTTTCCAGGAAATATATGTTATGTAACATCGCAAATACAGTCCAGTTCTGACTATCCATAATGCTGTTGCCCTCAATCACAGGCATCAGTTCACCTTTCCCTGTGATGCAGGCTTCAGCTCTGCATCCTAGTCACTGAACCAGCAGGAGGTCCTTGCTATTCATGGGAGTCAAGCTGTGCCAAGAGCAAAAGAAAAAGATACCTAGCCTCCTGCTCTGACTTCCATGTGAACTTACTGACATGTGCATCTGCACACTCATGTGTATCACTACACACAAAACACACACAGTTATAGCATAGAGGGTTGTGAAATATAAGCTAATATACAAGTCACCTACCTCATAGTAGATAACTATTAATGAGTTATATTTACAAAACACACCCTTATTTATATGCATATCTTAAATATTGATCAATTGAACTAGTTATTTCAGTGTAGAATACATTTTATTCAAAATAGCATTTGTGTTTTATCAAATTTCAATATTTTTGTTATTGAAGTATACTGGTTTACTGTCTTGTTTCTGACCCTTTTGCTGGTCTAGTTATCTTATGGTCAGTGGGTCTATAATTTGTAATATTGACCTGCAGTCTTCTAAATAGGTGGTAAAGGAAGGTAGAGAAGTCTCTAGAGGCAAAGGTGAGTTAGACAGTGTTCGGTTTTAAATGTCCTTTGCTTTGTATTTTAGGGTCTTCAGTTACTTGCTTTGTTTCTCTATTGATTTTGAAATATCTTTTTATCTAAGAGGGTGTGATTAATTTGTGTTCAATTTTCTGTGTAATATTAAATTCCATAAATATATACAACTTATTATATTGATGTTGTGTTTATATTTGTAGCAATGCATTTTCTATTATTTTAACTGAAAAGCACAGACTGAGTAATTCATAAAGATTGAAGTTTGTTTAAGTCACTGTTCTGGAAGGTTGGAAGTTTGAGGAGTCTGACCTAGAGAGAATCTTCTTGATGATGGAGATCATAGGACCCAGTTGTGGTGCAGTTTACTACACCGAGAGAGGGCTAGTCCAGGAGACAGAATCCAAATGCCTTTATAAGGAACTTGTTCAGGAATATAACAATTAGCATGTTCACTACGGGTATACTCAAGTTTGTCCAGGGCTGCAAGGTTGCTTTCCCATGTGACTACACTCAGTAGCAGTGACAGTCTTGAATAGCTAGTGTTTACCTCATCACTAATCCTAAGTGAGATCAAACACATTTCCATTGCTTACTGGCCCTTAATATTTTTTATATAGTAAAACAAGCTAATTAAAATAAAAAAATGTTAAAAAATATTTTTATATAAATTGCAATGTTTTGGCATCTTATTTATTGAAATCATTTTATTTGGGATCTATCTTGCCTTTATCTTTAAGTTTGGGGATTTTTCAAAATTTTGTGTACATTTTGGGAGTTATTTGTATAATGCATGCTTTTTCTCTATTTTAAAAGCATTTATCAATAAATATATTTGTAAATGTTTATTACAAATATGAGCTTTCTGATTTACCTTTTTACTATCCTCAGTGTGGTTTTTAGTAAAGTGGCTTTTTTTTTTTTTTTTTTTTTTGGTTTTTCGAGACAGGGTTTCTCTGTATTGTTTTGGAGGCTGTCCTGGAACTCGCTTTGTAGACCAGGCTGGCCTCGAACTCACAGAAATCCACCTGCCTCTAAAGTGGAATTCTTAATTTAAATTGTTAAGCTTATCAGTCTTTTTATTTTATTCAAATCTTTGCTTAATACTTTTTTTTCTAACTTGATTTGTTAAGGGTAGTTTTCCTGATTCTAACTTTAATGATTTTTCCTTTCACAACTGTGTTCAGTAAATTCAGTTGAACATGGAGTTTTTAATTATCTTCATTAATGAAATTTTTTTGGATTTGTATATCTTCAGAAAGTAATGTTAAAAAAACAAAAAGGAAACATTCCAAATAATCCTGTCTTCCATGATTCCAAGTTTTTTCTGCAGTAAGAATTGTACCTATTGCTTCAAAAGGAGGTGAAAAATTAGTCTTTATGTCTCTGGTAATTATTTAATCTTATATTTTTCTTGGTAATGTGATATTAAAAGACTGAAACTTTGGGGGTGACTTTATTTTTGACATTATGTGTGACTTTCTAAGTAGAAGCTAGATTAGAAGCAGATGATTCCATAAAGTGTCTGTGGAGTACACCAATGAAGAATGTTAAATATATTGACCATCACAACAAGTAATTTTTCAGTTTGTGCACATACTGATTTTAATATTCAGATCTAAGGAAGAGTTAAGGTGGAGTGTGCTGAAATCTGTCAGATGCTTGTCTGGCTGCCCTCCACATCTGAAGAATGCTCTGTTTCTAGGGGTGCTGCCAGAGCAAGGACCATGGCTTATTTTGGGGAAGGAAAGGGACCCATCCACATGGACAATGTGAAGTGCACAGGAAATGAAAAGTCCTTGGCTGACTGTGTCAAACAAGATATCGGAAGGCACAACTGCCGCCACAGTGAAGACGCAGGAGTCATCTGTGACTATTATGAGAAGAAAGCATCGAGTAATAGTCATAAAGGTACATCACTTCTGGGCCACTGCGCAAGTTGAGAATTACTAATTCCCCTCACTGTAGCAGGACTTTGTTAACAAGATCCTAGTGCAAAAGGAGTGCCCATAGCCCCTTGGTGTTTGTGTTCATGTTTAGAGCTGCTGGTGATTGGCGTATGTGTCTTCATAAGGCTTAAGGAGAGGGAGTGGGCTTCCAGAACCTTGCCATCTCTGAGATCAACTCCTTGTACAGTCTCTGAGATCAACTCCTTGTACAGTCTCAGCTTGTGATTGTCCTTAAAGACTCAGGACTGAGATCATTCTTATTGTTACTATTTTAAATAGTGGAGATAGCTTTTAAGATACATTTGTTTTGATGTTTTGAGGCAGAGTCTCACTCATGTTCAGACTCATTTGCAACTCAAGATCACAAAGATCCTCCTGCCTCAGCCTCCTTGAGTGCAGGGATTACAGTCATGAGACACCACACCCAACTAAAGTCAATTTTTAAAAGATCATTTTTCTTTGGTAGATTTTATTCCCTAAAATTTTAAAATTGAAGGAAATTGAGAATACAGTATAATATTGGCATAGTAAGTAGTTCTTCTTCCATACCTAGAATTCTCGAAAGTTCTTTGTGTAATGAGCATTCTTCCCGCCAGCCTGGTCCCAGAGTTGCATCAACCCCAAATAACACACAGAGACTCTATTAGTTACAATGCTGTCAGCCAATGTCCAGGGCTTCTCATTGGCTAGTTCTGTCTTAAGCATTAACCCATGACTACTAATATATATTTCTATAAGGATTTACCTTTCTGAGGATGGCATCCTGGTGCATCCTCTCTTCCACAGGATCACATGGCAACACCTATTCTTGACTACATTTCCCAGAATCCTCTTCCACTCTTAGTCCCACCTATCTTGCATCCTTATTGGCCAAGAGTGATTTATTAATAAATCAGTAGGACAACATATTCACAGAAGGACTTCTCCCATTAGCTTTGTATGTTCAAATTGTATGAAATAATAAATACCGATTTAAAAAAAAGAGAGAATTAGCTTTTCTGAGAAATCCTTGGTCATCCTTTATAAAAAGAACAAGCATTTCTGATCTGAACATGCATGCACACTTTTGCTTCTTTCACACATCCTCTCTCTAATTGATGTTAAGGTAACACAAGGGCAGAATTGGATGGTGCTGACACAGCTCTGAGATTCTGAGGAGTTTCTAGCTGTGATAGCAACACTCAGAGGCCTGTTTTTACTAAAGACAACTTGTTTCCCTAAATACATCTTTCCCTAAAAGCAGCCTAATTTGTTAAATTCCTTTCAATAAATAAAATTCTACTTATAAATTGACTATAAAATTTATGAATAAATATATAACATAAACCATACTTATATAACTATAAATATATAATTACATATAATATGTATATATACTGTATATATTATGTCAAATTCCTATAGCAGTTGAAAAATATAAAACTGAATGTGTAAACACATTTCACATTTTATTTTGATGCTTTTCCATGGCAGGCAGTACCTCCATCCCTCAATGAAAATGTTTCATCTCTAGCTCCCTGACAGAATTTGGCTCATTATCTTCTTGCTTCCTGATGCAGTTCAGAACCTGGTGACTTTCATAAGACAATTAGGCACAAGTGATTGATGGCTGGTCATCTGACAGGACACTCTTACAAAGGAATGCGATCTTGCTTCTCATTTCTTTACATCCGTGTACAGCTTAAAATTGATTTTGTTTCTTAAAGTCAGAATGATGGGCACTTTAGGTTTTCTTACTTACTGTTGGAAAAATACTTTTCTTGGCATCAGATATGCTCGCTGGCCCAGTGTGGAACATTATTGCAAAGTTTTTCTCATATTGTAAATTGCAGTGCTATCTGTAAGATTCATATCCAAAGTGATGAAGGATCAGGTTTTGATGGCAGGTCCCTAAGGTTATTTGGCAAGTTAATCATCCTGGTACACATTGCTGCACCTCTTTCTTTGCCAAATATTACTGCTAGCTCTCTGGACGATCCCCTTGCCTTGGAACCATTAGCACTGATTTGGTCTTCATGTTCTTGGCACAGTTCCCACCCTCCTTATACAGAGAGAAAAATAACAAAACAAAAAATACATGTATATATACTATGTACTTCATGTTTTTACTGTATTTATATGCTTATAAATAAACAGTATATACATTTATGTACATATAGAAAACTAATCCTACATAAATTCTTTGTAAAATTACTTTAAAATTTGGTCATGCTTTATGTATTTTCTTTTGTATACATTTGCCACTTTCTCACATATTTAATTGAATTCTTGTGTATTTAGGACAGAAATATTACCTTGGGAAGGATAATCAGGTTTGTTGTGGCAACCCATGAAATCCTTCGGAGCCTAATGATTGGAAACTTCATAAGTTTCTGATCTACTTGCATAAGACTATTGTTAGGTTAAAATATAACTCTTATTTTATTGCAAGAAAAAATGGTACAATTTTCTGAGAAAATTTAAGTAGAGAAGGAAGAACTGGGGACAGGTGATAGATATTAGTAACTCCTTTGTCCTTTTAGAGATGTTCTCTTCTGGATGTGGACTGAGATTATTGCATCGTCGACAGAAACGGATCATTGGTGGGAACAATTCTTTAAGGTAGAAAAAGGTTTTTCAAGCAGATTTTGATATTACACCAGACCAGGATTCCCTTTTATTATGCATGGGGTTTGTTTTATCATTTTATAAATTAAGTAAAGATTGCACTGACAGTTTCCCTGCCTTGTGTGTGTGTGTGTGTGTGTGTGTGTGTGTGTGTGTGTGTGTGAATTCACAGGTGCCAAGGCATGAATGAGGTTATTTGTTTCTTAGTGATTTTTAAAATGAAATTTTAATTCTAATTCACTGATGGGAGCCAGTACAGCTTTAGGCTACCCTGAATAAGCTATATATATGGCATAAAGCAAGTAGAGAAATTATACTGGACCCATGGATAACAAAGAGGACAACTGGCTTCCAAGAGGCTTGGAGATGAGAGGGATGTATAGAGATGCCTGTCAACAAATTTTCAGAGTTGCTGATATCTATGGTCTCCACGTAGGAAGGGCCTAATGGCTTCACTATGCTTTGAGTTCTTCCCTCCACCTGCGTCAAAGTCATTGTTTAACCCGATGCTTTTCTTTCCTTTTCTCCTCTCTTGAATGTGTGGCTTGACTTCTAGGGGTGCTTGGCCTTGGCAGGCTTCCCTTCGGCTGAAGTCGTCCCATGGAGATGGCAGGCTGCTGTGCGGAGCAACCCTTCTGAGTAGCTGCTGGGTCCTGACAGCGGCTCACTGTTTCAAAAGGTGTGTGTCCCTCCTTCCAAGCAATCCACTCCCCTCTAGCTCACTCCATGCTAGGTGGCACAGAGGGTGTCGTTACTGGACAGGTATGCCTTCTCTGTTTGCCCTGGGGTGCTGTGAACATAAGGTCAGTGATGCAAGGAAAAACAGCAGTGCGGTCTCAGGAGACAACTTGATGTACTCTGTCTAAAACCAAGTCTGGAACGAGGGAGAAGGGAAGGGAGGTTTGGGGGGAGGAAACAGATATGGAAGGTGGTGGTTTCCTAAGTGTTTATCTAAGATATGTGGGTGTGGACACACTTCCCTGTACTTTGGAGACTGAGGTAGGAAAAGCATTGAGTTTGAGGCTAGTGTGGGATGAACACCAAGTTTATCTCGAACTAACAAGAAAGCAAACAAACAACACAATAAGCAAACAAAAATATATCTGATTAAAATTCATATCCTTGTGGAAGTAAAATTCAGGTATGTTATTTGGTTACCAATTCTAGGGAAGAATGATGTAGCCTGAGTGTTTTTAATGGTTCTATATTCTTGATGATTTGTGTATTAAGTTTCTCTGTACCTTTTGGAAAGCCACATTACATCTCCTTTATTCTTATTCTTTATGGAACATAGTCCTACTCTGACAAGTTTCCTCTTGTCCTAGACATTTTATCAGTCTATTCTGAGCTCTTCCCAGCTGCTTGAGCAGGTCGCACTAGAAGGTCACTGTCCAGTTCCAAGACTGTCCTTGCACTGCCTCTCTTGCCTTCCCTGTGTACCGTTTATTCACAGGCTGTGGTAGATACACAATTCTTTACATTAAATTTGACATTTAAAAATGTATACCAACATTTGACAAAATGTTGAAAATTGCTGAAGCATGGTGACGAACATAAGAAATCGTGGTATACTGTTTTAACTTTGTACATTGCAAAAATTGTCCTAATTAAGAGTTGAAAAAGTGCTGGGCATTGGTGGCACACGCCTTTAATCCCAGCACTCCAGAGGCAGAGGCAGGCGGATCTCTGTGAGTTCGAGGCCAGCTTGGTCTACAAAGCGAGTTCCAGGACAGCCTCCAAAACAATACAGATAAACCCTGTCTGGAAAAACAAAAAACAAAACAAAACAAAAAAAGAGTTTAAAAAGTATGAATGCCATATGGTTGAAGAATTCTTCCAAGCAAAACATTCTTTGTCTCTTTTACACAATATTGTATAACGCATTTATACTTTACTGTGTATTCATTGTCTGTGCAGATTCATTTTAACTAACATATGAACTGCCACTTCTTTTTTAGAACTTTAAATTTATTTATTTTCCTACTAATAGGTAGTTAGTTATTTCTATTCTTCCAAAACTACAGAATAGTGCTGTGTAGACATCTATATAGTGTTTTTTGGGTGTTTTAATATAATAATGTCTTCCGTCATTCATATTTGTCTTAGAGTTTCTATTACTGTGAAGAGACACCATGACCACAGCAACTCTTATGAAGGAAAAACATTTCATTGGGGTGGCTTATATTTTCAGAAGTTTAGTCCATTATCATCATGGTGTGACATGGTGTCATGCAGGCAGACATGGTGCTGGAGCAGGAGCTGAAAGTCCTTACATTTTGACTCACAGGCAACAGGAAATGGTCCCACTATCACACCGAGTGAAGCTTGAGCATAGAAGACCTCAAAGCCCACCCCACAGTGACACACTTCCTCTAACAAGGCCATATCTACTCCAATAAGGCCACACCTCCTAATAGTGCCTCTCCCTTTGGGGCTATTTACTTTCAAACCACCACAATATCCTTTGCGTATTTCATATATCATTGTCTTTTTGTAGTAAATTTTATTTTTTCATGTGTTTTACATACAGAACCTTTGTTGTTATATACCACAAATACCTCTTCCTGGTATGGGTCACACTCTTTTATTGTTTATGATTCCTTTCCTGTCTGATTCCTTTTGTTTGGTAATGTAGGGTCTTATGTAGCCAAGGATGGCCTCAAACTCACTAAGTAGACAAGGATGGCCTTCATCTTTTGGTCTTCCCTCCACTTCCCAGTTGCTGGGATTATATGTGTGCTCACCATAGTTTTATGCAGTACTGGAGAGCTTGGAGATCTAGCCCAGGGCTCTGTGTGCTCTCTGTAGGCACTTGATCTTCTGAGCTACATCTCCAGTCCTGTTGATGGTTCTTCTTAATTTGTAAGAAGCTTTGTGCATCTTATCAAACATCTTTCCCATGCACACACCTTTAATCGGAGCACTCAGAAAGGCAGAAGGGGGAAGATCTCTGAGTTCTAAGCTGACCTAGGGTAGACTGGGCATTCTAGGCCAGCAAAAACTATATAGCAAGATCCTGTCTCAACAAGACATTTTCCCTAGTTCCATATAATAATCACATTGTCTTGCTTTTCCCTTAAAATATTGAAAGGTTTTTGCTTACAGTTTATTCATATGCCTGGCATATAGTATGAGGAAGGGGCCTGGTTCTTCACTCTTCTTTGTAGATGCTTTCCCTGCTTTTCTGTCCTGAATGTGTCCATTTTACCTACTGACTTATGTTAGCAACGTCACACACTGAATTCTTAATGTCTCCTGTCTGTTTCATAATTATTTGTGCAGTTGGATTCCATGTTCAAGGTGCTTCACAGACAGAAATCCACATTCATATGCTTGCTATGTTGGGTCTATAAGAAATAGAACTAAGTCTGAAAATTCACCTAAATGCAAGCTGAGTTAAGACATTTCTGTGGCTGAAAGCCAGAAGGTCCTGGATAGATATTCTACCTACACTAAGAGACCACGGATGCCAGCCCAGACTACTATACCCGGCAAAGCTCTCAATCACTATAGACGGAGAAAACAAGATATTCCATGACAAAACTAGATTCAAGCAATATGTGTCCACTAACCCAGCCCTACAGAAAATTTTGGAAGGAAACTCCAGCCCAAGGAAGCTAACTACAACCAGAAAAACATAAGCATTAGAGAATCTCTCTCTACCAACAGCCAAAGGAACAAAGGGGTGAAATTCCACACATAATTCCACCAACAACAACCATCGCAAATCGAAGAAGGATGAGCAATCATTGGTCATTAATATCCCTCAATATTAATGGCCTTAACTCACCCATAAAAAGACACAGACTAGCAGATTGGATTCGAAGACAGAACCCTTCCTTCTGCTGCATACAGGAAACACACCTCACCCTTAAAGACAGACATTACCTGAGAATTAAAGGTTGGGAAAAAATTTTTCAATCGAATGGACCCAAGAAACAAGCCGGGGTAGCAATCCTAATATCTAACAAACTAGACTTTAAAATAAAATCAATCAAAAGAGATGAAGGAGGTCATTACATACTCATCACAGGTGAAACCCACCAAGAGGAAGTGTCTATTCTGAACATCTATGCCCCAAATACAAAGGCATCCACATTTGTTAAAAAACATTATTAGAACTTAAATCTCATCTAAAGCCCCACACAGTTATAGTGGGAGATTTCAACACACCACTCTCACCACTAGACAGGAATACCAAACAGAAACTCAACAAAGAAGCAAAAGGGCTAATAGAAGTAATGACCCAACTGGGATTAACAGATATCTATAGAACATTTCATCCACATAAAAAAGAATATACCTTCTTCTCACCACCACATGGAACCTTCTCAAAAATCGACCACATACTTGGCAACATATCAAACCTCAGCAGCTACAAAAAAATTGGAATAACTCCATGCATCTTATCAGACCACCATGCTTTAAAATTAGAATTCAACAACAACACAAATTGCAGAAAACCTACAAACTCATGGAAATTGAATAATGCTCAACTGCACCATCCCTGGGTCAAAGAGGAAATAAAAAAAGAAATTAAAGACTTCCTCGAATTCAATGAGAATGAAGACACAACATACCCAAACCTATGGGACACTTTGAAAGCAGTGCTACGGGGAAGTTCATAGCGCTAAATGCTCACATGAAGAAACAGGAGAACAGTTATACCAGAGAATTAACATCACAGCTGAAAGCTCTAGAACACAAAGAAGCACACTCCCCAGGAGGAGTAGACGCCAGGAAATAATCAAATTGAGGGCTGAAATCAATAAAGTAGAAACCAGGAAAACAATACAAAGAATCAACGCAACGAAGAGTTGGTTCTTTGAGAAAATCAACAAGATAGACAAACCTTTGTCCAAACTTACCAAACAGCAGAGAGTGAACACGCAAATTAACAAAATTAGAAATGAAAAGGGGGACATAACAACAGACTCTGAGGAAATCCAGAGAATCATTAGGTCATACTTTGAAAACCTGTACTCCACAAAATTCGAAAATTTAAAGGAAATGGATGACTTCCTGGACAGCTATCAATTGCCAAAACTAAATCAAGAACAGATAAGCAATTTAAATAGACCTATAACCCCTATGGAAATAGAAGCTGTCATCAAAAGTCTCCCAACCAAAAAAAGCCCAGGTCCAGATGGCCTCAGTGCAGAATTCTACCAGAAATTCAAAGAACAGCTTATACCAATTCTTCTCAAAGTGTTCCACACAATAGAAGCAGAAGGGTCTTTGCCAAACTCTTTCTATGAGGCTTCAATAACCTTGATCCCCAAGCCACACAAAGATACAACTAAGAAAGAGAACTTCAGACCAATATCCCTCATGAACATTGATGCAAAAATACTCAATAAAATACTGGCAAATCGGATCCAAGAACACATCAAAACAATCATTCACCACGATCAAGTAGGTTTCATCCCAGGAATGCAGGGATGGTTCAACATACGAAAATCCATCAACGTAATCCACCATATAAACAAGCTGAAAAACAAAAATCACATGATCATCTCACTAGATGCTGAAAAAGCCTTTGACAAAATCCAACACCCCTTCATGATAAAGGTCTTGGAGAGATCTGGGATAACAGGGACATACTTAAACATAATAAAAGCTATATACAGTAAACCAACAGCCAACATCAAACTAAATGGACAGAAACTCAATGCAATT